CATAGTATTGTATTCCTCCTCCTTGTTAATGCACCTTTCATATCACACAGTTCCACAAGTACAATACATAATTACAACGTTCACCGGCCTCTTATCTGAATTTAAGGGCAAAGAGCCTGAGAAGAAATCAGTAATTCTATAATGCTAATCCACTCCATTCATTTTCCCTTGAATCCAGTACAGTTTTTCTGGTTCTGGATTCTACCTCCTACTTGGCATGGTTATTTAGCCTAGATTATTATCATCTTCCTGCCATAAAAATTGTAATTGGATAAGTTTTTCTGGATCTTTTTCCCCAGTTCCTACTTACTTTGTGTTAGATATACACGACCGTTTAAGTTTAGTGCGAATATTATGATTTAGATGGTTGAAGTATAGCATGAGTGTTAAAATTAGTTGTTTTTAGAGGTGATAGTTTATTGCAGGTTTGTTTACATAACTGTTTACGAAGAATATGTTGTGAAGTTCAGTAGTTTTGAATTGGTGATTGTTGTATTATTGTGCCATGTTACTAGAACCTTCTAAGTTTTTCACAATGTTTTAATTGAGTATTATTGCATCATAATATCTCATAGTATGTGAAATGTTCTAGGCCTTGGTTAGGCAATGAATATGCATCCAAAATGTGGTTCGAGATAGTTAGTTAGTGATATAGATAGTTAGATCAAGACTGCGTGATTGTGAGTTTAGCCGTAAAGAGCATATAGTGGCAATGTTTTTAAAAGTGAAATTATCAAAGATTGTATTGTAAGAACAGAGTAGAGAAGAATAACTTCTCTTGTCAGTTGTGTTCTAAAGTAATTGAACCAACCTATTTTGACTTTGACGATAAAGAAACAATTATTTAAAGCTCTGGATACAACTGTAGTAACCAACAGTTATAGTGGTGATTTTAAAGTGAAGTTATTACAGACTGTATTGTAATAACAGAGCAGGAAGAATAATTCATCTTGTCAAATTGTGTTCTAAAATAACTGAACCAACCTGTGTGGACTTTGATGAAAAAGAGACCATTATTTAAAGCTCTGTATACAACTGTGATAACCAACAAAGTAACAAACATATGTATATACGTTTGAATTTTTTTAATATAACATTTTCAAACAAGAGGACTGTGTATTGTTTTTTGTTGATGTTTATTGCCAACAAGTCACAGACACCTACTATAAAGAATCTGGACAATATATTACATAACACCTGACACCTTAAAGTGTGAGTATTCTGGCCTAAAGTGTTTCAGAGGTAAAACTCTTTCATTTGCATTTTACATTTAAAATGAATTCCAAACAGGTACTTACCTCTAAAATACCTTTTAACCTACCTCCCCCAAACCAGGTTTTCATCATGACTGCAACATTAATTCAAATCTAAATTATGACAGGAAAGCGACATAAGGCACATGAAAGACGGGAAAGTGGAGAATTATGAGTAAGTGACACATACTTTAAAATGTGTAAAGGACAATCAAAAAATTTTGAGTTACATGTTTTGCTGATAGCATGAATTCAAAGTCAACAAGGAAAGGCTTGCAGTATTTCAGAGATAAGACTACCTGATGTTGAAATTAATTTTAAGTCAAAAAGCATTGAAGTCTAACTTCTAAAAATAAAAAATAGTGGTAACGACTTCCTTCAGTTATTGGCTAAGATTTAAATGGCTGTGTTATGCCACTGCCATATAATTTATTTTTTTGCTGGTTTAGCAGGAGTGTTTTAAAAAAAAAAAGAGATTCATTTTGAAAGCATTTATGAATCAACTACAGATGTCCTTTCAGATTCATAAGTGGTCCCACACTTATTTTGGACTTCCACGTTGGGTGATTCTGCTGCAAACTTTCCATATTGTACTCCCTCAACGTCACCACCGTATCCACCACGTGGCACCTCACGAGACCTATTTCTGTATCACAACCGGTTGGCTGAATTATCCCCTCGAGAAGTTGCACTTCTGGGAAACTTGTGAGAAGTTAATTGAAGCTGTGACTGGCTGCAAACCCAGAACAGATGACATGAAATGGGCTCAAAAACGTGAATGAAACGTGAAATAAGTCGGTGCAGAAGGATTAAAAATCTTGAAAATGTAATAAAATTTGTGCACACTAACACGTCTTTGTAATGCCCAATTTGATATTAAGATAAAGCATGTTGATCTGAACAGAAGGCCTGGAAGAGATTGGGCAAAAAAAAAAAAATTAACTTGTATATTTGTGGTAGGCTTTGGTGTTGTGTGTATGTAATTATAAATTTTATATTCTAATTGGTATTAAAAGTAATTTTTGTAAAAGAAGTCAAGGAAAGCTTATATGAACAAATTAAGTATTTATACTTTTTTTGTAATATCAGTTTAAGATAAAGCGTTTTTAAATGAACAACTTACTTGATATTTAATAAATTTCTTTGTTACGCGTGATTAAAAATTTATTTTTGTGAGATAGATCCTGTTTCCAGAGAAATTAGTTATAAGAATAACTTAATTATTGGAAAAGTTATATGAAGCTGATTGGTTGTGCGAGAAAATTAATTTGTAATTATTTTATATCGAAATGAAACTATTACATTTCTTATCATGCCAGTTGTTTTAAGATGGCCATCCACCCTAATTTAAGATGATTTTTCTCTTTGTTATTATGTGCATGAAAGGGTTTGTATAATTGAATGACTTATTTCAAGAAAAGTCAGCAGGCCTCCCATTGCAGCCCTTAAATCTGAAGGATAAACCTCCTATTTTGAAACCAAAACGTTATTGTTTGTAACTCTAAAATCCAGGGTTCAATTTGTAATGGTAGCCACAGTGCATATAGCCCACTTTGTAGCTCCGTGCTAAAAGAAAAGCTGCAAAATATTTGACACTTTAGTCATAATATCATCGAATACAATTTTGCAACATTTTTTTTTTGTGTGTGTGAGGGATAATTTGGATTTCATTATCAGAACTTGCATGGTAAAAATCTCTGTCATCACACACAAAGTAATGGATTTAGTAACGAGAAATTTACCTTTATTGTATGTCAACTTTAAGCTGTATATATATATATATATATAACTATATTATAGTTTATGAAACCACAATTTGCTCTAAATTTTTAGGAAGAGGTACCTTTAAAAATTATTTTTTTTAATAGTCTGCTGGGAGGCCTGGTCAGATTTTATTTCACTAAGTCATTATGATTATTGGACTGTCGTTGCAAGTACGGAGTGGCCCAGAAAAACCCTGAACTGAACTAAATCGATCCTTTGTGTGAACATTTATAAGTAACGTGCAAGCTACTTCTACAAACTTGCTGTGATTTTGTTTTAGTTTATTTTCACCAATATAATAGAAGAAAACTAATCTTGTATGTTCTTTTGTGAATCTCCACGTAATCTTTCCAGTGGCAACATTGAAGAATGAATACAGAACAAAACGTTTTTTTTGGTTGGCTAAAGCTTAGATGTTTTTGATTTCTGTAGTCTATAACAGAATAATGCAGTAGATTAAAGAATGTAATTAGGTAGACCAGTGGGCGAGTCTCTTGTGTAACACAATGTCATCTTTATTGTTTATACCATGTTGATAGGTTGGTGCACCATAAAAAAGTGATGAGATACAAGATTCATAGCTGAATGTTAGTACGCATTATTTAAAGCTCAGCCATGATGTTTTCTTCTTTTTTACCGACACGTTGAACAACTAAAAGATGGCAAGAAAATACAAACACCATTCTGGTCAGTGTTACGTGCAATATGAAACTTTTTAATAATGTAGTTTTAGTTTTGTGATTATGATTTGGAAATGTTTCCTGATATATATATATATATATATAT